TGAACTATCCCCCATTCGAAAAGATCTCATAACAATAATTTTAAAACCTCTCAATCGTTCTTCAGAACCCCTCACGATCCTTCATCATCCCGATGGATTGATTCACAACTTCCCTCAGTGATTAATGATCACCCGACGCACCTGAGGCTCCAAGAAGATCCCCAAACAAGCTCTTCACTCAGTACTCCAGTCATTCTCCTCAACCCCCACCCAACCAAATCCACGAATGCAATTGACCAAGTAATTACCCCCGACACCAGCAGTCATCCTCCTCTCCATACTCGTCTCCAACTCTTCTTGACGCTGAAGGTTAGGTCGTCGCAGCAGCCTCTAACACTTCAGACAACAAGTTCACGGAGGTGGGATCGGTCGCAGGTGTGCGTAAGCGCGGCTTCAAGTATCGACCGGGTGAGAGACCCCAGTAGTACAAAAAAAAACCTACCCGAAGGAACAAACTCTAGACGGTTGCAGTTGTAAATCATCGGATACAAAACTCATCGCATTCACACACAGATGATTGCCGGAAATCCTGAAACTATCTCGAAAGAAAAAGCCCAAGGTGGATGATCATCTCTGTAACATGTGAACTTGTCGTCTGAAAGTTGCACACTCAAGTATCAACATGTATGTACAGAAAGGGTGTTAATAAATTGTTCCGGTTATCGTACTGCATACGGTCATTCTAGTTTCCGAGAGCATTTTACACGGGCATACTTGCTTTATTTATCGCGTTATGCTGTACGGAAATATTTACTACGGAACATTTGCACATCCCACTGATTCACACTGATCATTTCATCTTGATAAATATCTTGTTTTAGTGGATAGTTCCTATTTGCGAACATTGAATGTTATTGGTTTGGGATTAGATGCAGCTTTCGACTTGAAGATCTTGGGAGAAATTGAACTCCATTTGATGATAGCCAGAATTGGAGGGAGATGAAGTCCCTTTAATGGTCGACACGCTGAGAGAAAGAATTGGTAAAGTCCTGGAATATAAAAATATTCAATCCAATCTCGCAATCTTGCGTAATTAAGACAAGACGCATCAGCAAACACAAAATTTAATTTTCAATATTATTCAGACTTGTGTTCATTTTGGCCGTTACACGGTGAAAGAATGTCAACTTTTTTTTGTTAAAAAAGTATTTATCCAATTAATTACGACATAGAATGTGAAATTGAATATAAAACCATCATCAATAAAAATTGTGTGGCGAGAATCATTACTAAACCTTGAGCTTTTTTAAGGCCCAACATGACAATAATATGAAATTATTGACCAGTAGGTTACCCCGAGAGAAAGAATTAGTTCTGTCAAGAAATTATATGTTCCCCTGGAGTAATCTTTTGTCGCGTTGAATCAATTCAGTTCGAGACGAAAAAGTTTTCACCAAAACACGATAATTTTCGTAGTAGTAATTGCTCTCGTGAAAATTGTTCTCAGGAAAATCATTTCTACCCCAACGTCAACGCTCAATTGACTCCCTAGGTATCTCTTGAAAAGAAAGTATTGATCGCTCTTAAATTGGTAAATTCAAATAACACTCGTACTAATGTCTTCCCAATTTTTAAATTTTGCCCTACCGGTACAGTAATTTTTACTCTGTCGGCACGGTAATTTTTATTTTTATCAGAATAAAATTTCTCTAACGTAGAATAAAATTTGATCATCACATATCAATTTTTACTGAATTTCGGGATAGAAATGAGGAAAGGATGACTCATGATACACTTTTATAGAACAGTGGGATAATTTTTATCAAAAATTTCTCTCCGTGCATCGAACCTTATTAATAATGAAATATTAAAGAACCGCAGTTAAATTCATTCCAAGTGTCAAATAATTTGATTAATTTTAAATAAATTAACTTGTGCCCAATATCATTCTATTCCGTCAAACCATTTCTTCATCAATTCGTGCTAGAAGGATTTGGACTTCTATTGTCCGATCAAGAGTTGACATTCACCATCTAAAATGCAAGAAAAACTTCACAAATTCCAACCCGTCCTGCCCCATCATCACTCCTCCCATAAAGCTAACCATCCAATTCCAGATAAAATCTCCCCCGAATTGAAATCTGATCTGCTGTACCAGCAATAAAGAAAGCGTCAACGAGATTCTCTGATGTTTATCATAATTGCCGCAAGGTAACGAACTTCCCTGCAACATCCATTAAAACTCCCGCGAAAAGAAATTGAAAGAGAAGACGATACTCAGATGTCTCGAATCGTGACTGAGAGCATCACCGGGATATCGCGCCTACCTGGTACGCTATTTAAAAAACTCCACGGGACACCGTGTACCCTCTCTCCTTGTCTCCTTCGCCGTCTCTCTCATCGAGATGTAAAAATACCCTCCCCCCCCCCAGGGGGGGGAGGGGGGGGGGGGAAAAGGNAGGGGGAGGGGTGAAAAGGCTGCAAGGAAGACAAGAGGTGGTAAAAGATAATTTATGCGAAAATATCTCGTTGAGACAGAGAACACGAGTGTGGAGAAGGTAGAAGGGAAACAGACATCGAATTTATTTGCCATGAGATTCTTTCCCTTGCGGCCAATTAGTGAACTTTGCATCGCCTACGTAATACCACATTTTGATTTATTGCCGTATGAATCCACAGTTTCTCGGCAATTGGATCTCCCCTGGATGTCTGGAAAAATATAATACTGCGGGAGTTTTCAACGCGCCAGACGATAATGAGGGAGAGAAGCGCGAAGTGCAACAGAAAAACTAGTGTTTGATATTGAGACACTTTTGACAAAACGCTTTTGAGTAGTGACTTTCATCACTACTTGACGTTTTCAACATTCATTTTCTATATTTAAAAATGGATTTTAGGTAGTGGTGCCGCGAGACACTTTACGAGACAAAACTTTGGAGACATGATGTTGGATCAGTTATCCAGCAACACATTTCATTAGAGAAGCAGCAAACCGAGCCAAGTCGATTTTGACTTTTGGTCAGTTTTTGATGAATATCTCGGAATCTAAGAGAGATAGCAAAATTATCCTTACGACCTTTTTTATAACCCTCAATTGGCTCTACAAAAAAGGTAATGACAAAAAATTTCTATCTCTTTTAGGTTCCGAGATATTCCTGAAAAACTGGCCGATACTAAAAATCGACTTAACCCGGTTTACCGCTTCGCTACTGATTTTCATGTCTAATGTCCCAACTTAAGACGCCTTGAAGACACTACTCCCAACAGCGCGTTTTCATCCACCTAACACTGCGTCGAGAGGGAAGCGGTACTCCTCAACTAAACTTTAACCGTAACCACTATGATTTACATACAAGACAAGTATATCACATCCCAAACTACAGTTGGCTGCACAACCCCACTCACTTTAGTCTCCAAAACTGATTCATTGCTGAGGAAGAAATGTACAAACTTTTGCCTTCTGAATGTCATTCTTTCTGCGCTCCCTTTCGCCCACCAAAAACTCATCGCAAGAGTCAAAAAATCGTCCGCCTAATGGGAAGTTATTGCACGACGCGCATACCCTCGGGAGATCACGGGCATTAAAAGAGGAAAGCAAAGTGAAGAAAATACGAGAGTTATATAAAACCACATTTACAAGGAGTCACCGAACACTGTATCTCACGATCAATGTTGGAAGATTTCTTCAGCACAAGTTTTCTTTCTTTTCTTCTTTCTCGAATTTCCTAGAAACTCCTTGCATTCCCCCAAATTTTCTGGAAACTCCTTGAAGTCCCCCAAATTTTCTGGAAACTCCTTGAATTCCCTCGAATTTTCAAGAAACTTCTCGAATCACCTCGAAATGTCTAGAATTTTCTAGAATTCCGATAGATGGCGCTGCACATAAGAACCGTTTCCCAAATTGACCTCCCCATATTGAAACCATAGACGTATCCACGTCAAAAAATCAAACCTTCAATTTGAAAGCTTCCATTAGGAAGTGAAATCATTCACCTAGCAACACTGTCCCCGATCGATACTTCCATCCCTCGCAAAAATCAATTTTCCAGTGAACACAAGGGACTATTGCGTGCAGTTAGTCAAGAATTCGTGCGGGGAAACCTCATCCAAATTCCTGGAATATCCTCAGCAGCTTTCTGATGTATATATTGCAGCGATTCAGCTGGATAACAGAAATGCACACTATTTTTCATGTCTCTTACCTTTTTTCTTGCCTACCGTGACCAAGTGGGCTGTCAGGCGACGCCGGCTCCCTCGCATGAGTCACGTGCAAAAGGTTTCGCACATATCAAGAGGGTGATTGGGGGGGGGGGAAGCTACGAGTGGGAGGAGAATGACAGGAATCAAGTTGTATTGGTAATAGCTGCAGCATGCACCCTCGGGTGTCCTGAAGCACTCGTTATCCTGACCGAGACATTATTTTCCTCCAATCGCTTGTTCCTCCGAGTTGACATCAAGTGGACCGTTAGGGGTCCGAGTGAGAAAATACGCCCTGTCACAGTAATAACAAGAAATATTGATGATTCATTCGTCGAGTGTGGGGAAATTTTTAACATTAGTTGCTTACAAATTCAAGTGAGTGGCGAATTTCTTTAGAAACTCATGTTGATTCAGCGTTGATGCTTATTTTAAGAAGAGAAGACTGTCATTTCCGTTTTTTTTATTATTCTTGGGCTTCTCATTGAAAGCCACACACGTAGGATACGGAAGAGAATGGTGTGGTGTGCAGTGTACCTTGAAAATGAATGGGGATAATAACGAACGAGACCGGAGTTTTCAAGCGATATAAATATCACCACATGTGGACGGGTCGATATAACCCGGGTTTTCAGAGTTTAACAAACGTTTGAACTAACACGATCTCCGTACAATAACATTTCACTCTGGTCACGTGTAACGGTTGAATCTCTATTATAAGATCGGGGAATAGGCGTGCGTTAAAGTCCAAGACTGAAATACAGCCGAGTATATTAACCGAGAGGGATTATTTATCGCCTGTTGATCATCGAGTTGTTTTTCACCAGTGGAATTGCAAAGAAACCTCTGTATTTTTGTTGCAGATTGGAGTGATGCCATACCGGTTATAAATCATCGGGAGGACGCAATGGGACGGACACGAGTTCCGCTGACCAGTGGAGGAATGCCAGCGATTTTACTCATTCTCTTTACCCTAGTCCTCACGGTGACAGCTGTGCCAAATGTCAGATCGGAATCTGCAACGGGACCGGCGAACAGTGTTGGTCCATTGTCAGGATCATCAGCGTCTTCATCATCGTCATCACCAGTTTCATCGTCAGCGATTGGTTCGGTGTCGGGTGGTAGCCCGCAATCAAATGGTATAGGCAATGGGCTTGGTGGTGGTAGTGTTGGCCACTCGGTGATGAGCGTCGGTCCCACCGGAAATGGCAGGTGCGAGGACATCACCATTCCCATGTGTCGAGGAATTGGCTATAACCTGACGGCGATGCCTAACGAGCTGAACCACGACACGCAGGAGGAAGCGGGCCTGGAGGTCCATCAGTTCTGGCCGTTGGTGGAGATCAAGTGCTCCCCAGACCTCAAGTTCTTCTTGTGCTCCATGTACACACCCATCTGTCTTCCGGAGTACAGCAAGCCTCTGCCGGCGTGTAGAAGTGTCTGCGAGAGGGCGCGAGCTGGATGTGCACCCCTGATGCAGCAGTACGGATTCTCCTGGCCGGAGAGGATGGCTTGCGAGCGTCTTCCAATGCAGGGGGATCCTGAGAACCTCTGCATGGAGCAGGACAATCATGCTAACGCTGGTGGTGGCCATCCCAGCAGTCCACCAATGCCAGCTGCTGGCCCACCACGCCCTACAAGACCATCAAAGACCGCTCAGCAGCCGCGCTGCAAACCCGGTAAGAATCAAAAAAACTGCCAAAATCCCCCAGGGGACAGAACAAGGGAGTGCGAGTGCAGATGCAAAACTCCACTCGTACCACTGGGGGTAACAAGTGTCAGCGGAAACGACCACACAGTTCTCGGAAGCATGCACGCGGTAGGGGTGCCGATGTCAGGGGGGATAGGGCCAATGGTAAGCAGAGACATTGCCCTGGGAAACGGAAATGTCCTGAAGAATTGCGCCCTACCGTGTCACGGGGCATTTCTGACCACCGAGGAAAGAGGATTCGCAGCCGTTTGGCTGGCGTTATGGAGCGGCCTATGCGCAGCAAGCACACTCACAACCGTAACCACATTTCTCATAGACACACAACGCTTTAAATATCCAGAAAGACCAATTGTCTTCCTCTCCGCCTGTTACTTCGTGGTGTCGTTGGGCTACCTAGCGAGAAGTGTGATGGGCCACGAGGAGATTGCGTGTGACGGACCAGCCCTGAGGTCCGGACCACAGGGTCCTGGTGCGTGTGTCACAGTTTTCCTCATGATTTACTTCTTCGGAATGGCTTCATCCGTCTGGTGGGTCATACTCGCGTTCACCTGGTTCTTGGCTGCCGGCCTCAAGTGGGGTAATGAGGCCATAGCATCGTACTCTCAGTACTTTCATCTAGCTGCTTGGCTAGCACCAACAGCGCAAACAGTCTGGGCACTCTTGGCTGGTGGTGTCGAGGGCGATCCTGTTGCTGGTGTGTGCACAGTTGCACCTGATGGTGTACAAACATTCATTCTCGTACCACTTCTAGTCTACCTCCTGTTGGGCACCAGCTTTCTACTCGCTGGTTTCGTCAGCCTCTTCAGGATAAGATCAGTGATTAAACGACAACCGGGAGCTAAAGCCGACAAATTGGAGAAACTTATGATTCGCATTGGTGTCTTCTCAGTTCTGTACACAGTGCCAGCTGGTGCTGTGCTCGGTTGTTATCTGTATGAGTCGTCATTCAGGCTCGAATGGCTGAGGGGCATCGCATGCCAGTGCGAGGCCCGCACCAGGCCATACTATTCAGTCCTCATGCTGAAGTACTTCATGGCACTCGCTGTCGGCATCACCTCAGGTGTCTGGATATGGAGTGGCAAGACAGTGGACTCATGGCGGAGACTCTGGAGACGTCTCTTTGGCGGTGGCGTTGCGGCCGGTGGCAATGCTGGCATGGCAGGTGTCACTGGTGTCAGTGGAATTGGCAGTGCAAGCATGAAAGGACGCTCCATGATGCCAAGCTATGCAGCATCTGGCCCCGGCAGTGCTCTCCTACCACCGGGCAGTGTTGCCAGTGCATCACAACACCATCTTCATCATCATGTACTCAAACAACCACCGCTTTCGCACGTATGACGTCACCAGTCGGCGGGAGGCGATATGAATACAGCGGGCTGCGATACCCAGCAACAGAATCAGTTGCAGCACGAGAGGCCATCAGCTCTCAGCAACTATGGACCCATTTAGCCTTTCGCCTCAGCCTCGAGGAGGCATACGCCAGCACACACTGCGCCCCATACACCACACTCAGCAGCAACTATCTATTCGAGAAGATCATTGGCATCGACTACTGGACCATTGACACCAGCTCATGGTCTGGCGCCGTCATACACCCAAGCTACAGATGTCTGATCTACGATTGTACCCGTTATCGGGTGGTAGTGATAATGCTCTGTGTGTGATTACAGAACCAAACGGAACGACGAACGTGAAAACAATGACTACCAATATGCCATTAATATTTGCCGAATATACGTATGTAAAACAGGGCTGGCTCGATGCCGGCATACTCCGTGAGTCAATGTAGCGGTGATTACTTTATTTTTCGTTAATTATATGTTTGACGTTCCTTCAGTGGTTATGTATCGAATGCCGGGGAATCACCGTCCGTGACTATACGCAAAACACGTCGTATTGAGATACTCTCTGGCTAGTGAGTTTGTGAGAATGAACGAGTGATTTTTGTATGTGTGTTTTTATAGGTGATTGATGGTAGGGATTATAGATTCTCTATAGGTGGGATCTCTCCTTCTTTATGCAATCTATGATGCGATTATGATGCCTTGGGGGTGGGACAAGCTGGTGAAGGAGAGATGTGCGGGAAGTAACTAGTCGTTACTTTAAGTTCGTTAGTTCGAGATGGCAAAGTATTCGGTATTTTTTGTAAATTTATGGCTTACCGGCCATCGGTGTTAATTAGGGGTGCCTAATGTCTACGTTCCTAATTCATTCGGTATTTTGGCGCCACGGCACCACAAACCACTACGCAAGTAGTTGAAAGTGATACACCAAAAGGACAGCATCATAAAATCTTTTTCTTTTCCATATTGATTACCACCTGGTAATCAGCCATTTTTTAGTAAATATTATCTCCTTCAATCTAGTAGTATATATTACTAAAAAATGATAATCAAAAGGTGAATTCTGAAAAAAAAAGTTTAATCCTGTCACTTTACCTCATTTGATTCTTCTAGTTATTTCACTCTTATTTTTTATTTCAGTCGTCGATTAATAAAAGTAGCGAGTATTGAGGAACGAATACTTTCTCATATTGTAACGACAACTTTCTGGACATAAAAGTAATGAGATTGCACATCTCTATAGTGAAATGTCGGCAAAATTTGGCGCTACGAACTCTCAGCCAAAAGGGGATAGAAAAATATGAATGATGGCTTTAAAAATTCGTTCCTTCTGTAGAAACCGGTGACGCGAGTTGAGGGTGATTTGAAGGGGATAAATAATTTTAAGAGTCGTTTAAAAATGCGAGGTGGGGCGCCGCCATCTTTGAAGCCATCTTCCCGATAAGCAAGATGGCGGCGCCCACATCGGTGAACCACCTAGTGTTTTTGAATGTTTTCAACTCATTTCATGCAGTTTTTAGAAGGTGAAGAAGCTTTCTCCTTTGCATGAGAACTCGTAACGAAAATTTTTCCCCTCCCTTCACTATTTTTTTCCACTTCTGAGGCATCTCAACTGATTTTCCTTTTATACTTTATACTTGTGTGTCTCGCGGGACTCAAGTGCATGTCCGTCTAATGTGTATTCGTATTGTCTATTTATCTACTAGCCGTTTACGCATAGGTGTGTACTGATTAGAGGCTATCTCCATCGAGTTATCGGTGAGATTTATCGATTTGTATCAAAGATAACGGTGAGTCGATGGTCTTGGGATAGCGTAAGGGGGAAGTGTATAGGTTAGATGAGACAAATGAAGGTTTATTATAATGTAAATATATATTCTAGGGGATAGGCCACTGTACATAGGTGAAAGAGGTGAATTTCTTTGTACAGACTCGAGAGATTGGCAGGGTCCAGATGAAATAGAGAAGGAGGGATTAGAATTCAAATTGTGAGGATTATTCGGTCGTTGTGTGAGTGATGGTTGCGTGAAAATTATGTAGATCGGATCGTTTTTTTTTTACCGCGGATGAGGAAGAGTAAGTGAATATTATAATTATGGTAATGTAAAGAGGTTAAGCTGGTCGTTCTTTCGTACTCACCCATAGAATCGTCGATAGATGAAGAGATATTTAAGACTTCTTGTATTTCCACTCCTCCCTTCCGCTCCCCCTCCCCCCCCTTCCCCACTGCGATTGTACTTCGCTGCGAGCAACTTTCCCCGGCGAATCTGGGGAAAGAAGAGAAATAAAATGTATGAGTGGGGAGAACTGAGCCACGTGCACCGTAGAAAATCATTACACTATATGTAACGTGCGATTTGTGCGTGATTTAAAGGGTTTACAGACACAATTGGGTTTTATTGAAATCTTTGTAAGAGAAATGCATTAAATGACAGTCCGATGTAGTTGTGTAGATGGAAACAATTATTAAATACATAAGTACATAAATTTGTAAGTCTTTCCAGTTATACCGGTGTAATAGGGTGATTGTGAGGTTTTTTCGTTCCCCATGAGGTTTGAGATTAAATTTTTTTTGGCACTGGTGAGAATTTGTTGGGGAAGAGTCGAAGGGGATTTTGAGATTTTTTGGGGATATTCAGGATGAGTTTTTCAGGGAAATTGATATCATCGCGCAATTCTATTTATGAAGTTATCATTTTCTGATGTTATCTTAGGCAAAAACTTTACATTTCCTAGAAAATTTGACATGAATATGCAGTTCTAAATGATTGAAAAATCAAAAGACTTGGGGAAATTGGAAAAAAAATTCTCAACAGCGTAAAATCCACTGTTCATGTGACAAATTATCCAGAGACTTTTTGGGAATATTTATGATAAGTTTTTCAGAGAAATTGCTGTCATCTCGCCATTCTGTACATGAAATTATCGCTGCATGACAAACTACAGAAAATAATGTCACACTTCCTAAAAAATTTGATATCATATTCAGTTTTAAATAATCTTAAACTCAAAAGACTTGGGGAAATTGGAAAAAAAATTCTCAACAGTGCAAAATCCACTTTTCCTGTGACATACACGATCGAGAACCAAAAACTGCCTCAAACACCCCAAACGCAACTGAAAACCACAAAAATGCAATAAAGATGACCTATGGCGTGAGAAGTAAATGTGTAAGAATATTTAATTGTAAGAACGACGTAAACGCGTGTGGAATGGAATAAAAAGTCACGGAGAGTTGGTCTCACATATCACATTGGAGGAAATACAAAGAGCAAAAAAAATTTAATGTAAAGGACAAATGAGAGTCGGAGGAAGGGGAAATTTGTGTATTAGTTCTCGAGAGAGAGAGAGAGAGAGAGAGAGAGAGAGAGAGAGAGAGAGAGAGAGAGAGAG